CCCTCTATCTCTCCTCCCGTTTTCCTTCTGCATTTTTCTGTCTTTAAATTTAAGGTAATGGAAACTATCCGTCAAACCTAGAACCAACAATTTAGGTTAAAATCTGCTTCATAATTCCTTTGGTCATATTCTTTAAAGTAAAATGCTCTGATCTTAAGTCAAACTAAGTAAACAAAACTTTATTTCATCTTCCTTTAGAAATACTGTGGTAAATTTTCTTTAATCACATCAGAGATCACATTTCGTTTCTTTCAATAGCATGGTGTTATCTTTCTATTGGCTCTCTTAATAACATACATCAATGAACTATGATACACAGGAATAACGGGTGGACTTTGTTCACTATCTTCTTTGAACTATCTAAAAAGGTAATAAGAACATTATTTCAAATGAATAAACCTAAAAAAGTATACAAATTTTAAAACATTATTTCGTACATCCATACATGTGAATATACATAAATGAGGCACATACTATAACTTAAGATCAAGAAGTAATGAAAAATTTTTAAATACGAAGAAAAACGACTTTTAAAAAAGGATATAGTCATATACTCTCTCGTTCCATGAAGAACTTATCAAATCCCTCTGCCTGGAGACAAAAATAAATCATTCAAAAGTTTCTACATAATTTTGCCTTTGTAAATTTGGAAAGAGTACAAATAGCACTGGAAAGATGCTAGAGAAGTTTAAATCAAGAAGGGCTTAGAAAGAGAGGAAGGATTCCTTAAAAATATAAGAAAGTCTTTCATACTCATTAGTATGGCTAATTTTTTTAAAAAGGAAAATAACAAGTGTTGGCAAGGACGTGGAGAAATTAGAACCCTTGTGGCATTGCCAGGGGTAATGTAAAATGACGCAGCTTCTCTGAAAAGTTTGGTGATTCCTCAGAAAGTTAAACATAGAATTATCATATGAGCCAGCAATTCCACCTCTAGGTTTTATATCCAAAAGAACTGAAAACAGAGACTCAAACAGATACTTGTACACATATGGTCACAGCACCATTATTCACAAAAGCTAAAATGTGGAAACCCAAATGTCCATAAACAGATGAATGAAAAAACCAAATGTGGTCTATACATACAATAGACTATTATTAGCCTTAAAAAGGATGAAAATTCTGATACATGCTACAATTTGGATGAACCTCAGAGATATTACGCCAAGTTAAATAAAACACAAAAAGACAAGCATTTTATGATTCCACTTATACCAAGCACCTAGAATAGGCAAATTCATAGCAACAGAAAGTAAAAAAGAGGTAACCAGAAGCTGCAGAAGAGAGTAACAGGAAATTATTGTTTAATGGGCACAGTTTCTGTTTGGGATGATGAACAATTTCTGAAAATAGACAGTGGAGATGGCTGCACAATATTGTAAATATACTTACTGCCACTGAATTGTAAACCTAAAATTGGCTAACGTGGCAAATCTTAAGTGTTATTTTACAGTTTTAAAAGGAGGAAAAAAATTTTTAATTTAAAAAAAATTTAAGGAAGCAAAATTTAATTGTTACATCCATAGAAATTCAACTAAACTAGCAGCTACTTTGGGCAAGGAATTGCATGGTCAGCCCTAAGAGATAATAAGATGGGTTGTAAAGCAATCTTTGCCCTCAAAGACCTCAAGATTTAGCTGAATGACAGATAAAATATACAGGCTATCTCACAATGGTCTGTGTGATCTTTACGGGGATTTCACGAGTCCAAAACTATTTTCATAATAATTCTAAGAGTTTATTTACCTTTTTGACTGTGTTGACATTTGCACTGATGAGTCAAAAGCAGTGGTTAGTAAAACTGCTGGTGCAGGAGCAAAGGCAGTGGCATCAAAATGAACTAGTAGTCATTGTCTTCACTACAGCCACCCACTTACAGTTTAAAAAAAAAAAAAAGGCAAACTAGTTCCACTTAAGAATGTTCTTGATGACAATAAAAATTAATGTTATTAAACCTCCACTTATGAATATGAGTATTTTAACATTCTACATGGCAAAAAGGGAAGTATGCACAACAGGCTGTCTAGAGGAAAATACTTGAGATTGTGTCAGTTATGAAATGAACTAGTCACATTTTTCATGCACCATGATTTTCACCTGAAAGACTAATAAGCTGTGTTAATAAGACTTGGGTATTTGGCATACGTTTTCTTCAAAATCAACACGTGAGCTTTCCACTTCAAGAGAGACAACTGAGAGTATCTGCTGCCAATGATAAATTTCTAATTGCTGCTTAAAAACTCACATTTTGGAAAATGTGGATCCACTACAGTGAACTTGAAAGCTTCCTAATTTTAAGACTTGTCTGATGAGATCAGTGATATTAACGAATGTGTTGTTTTGCTATTGTATAATAAAATGCATGAATATTTAGAAGATCTACATAATTCAGTAACCATTATTTTCCAACGACCAATGCATCATGTCACAAAATCACACATGGATAAAAGATTCATTCAAAGTGCAAGACAGACCAATGGAGCTTAATATAAAATGACAAAAGGTTCATTCATAAGGTTTAAGATTCCATTTTGACTAACTTTAAGAAAATACCACTTTGGTATAGAATACCCACAATTATCTGAAGAGGCAAACTATTCTTCCTTTTCTTGCTACATGTGTGAGACTTCCTTTTCTTTATATAATTCAACAAGACAAGACAGCGCAACAGACTTAACACAGGAGCAGATGTGAGAATACTTATTTCAATATTTATTTTGGAAAAGTGATTTTTAATTTAAAAATATGTTAACATGTTTATTTTTTAATAGATCAATAAATTTTTTAATTTCTCAGTTTTAATTTCTCATATAGTAAAAAAGAAAGATGTAGTCCACATAAAGGTTCTTTGTGGTCCTCAATAATTTAAAAGTACTAAGGGTTCGGAGGGCAAAACGTTTCCCGAGAACAGCTGCTATAATCCAAGGAGTACTACAAACGTAAAAACAAAGGATGTTTAATTCCAAAAGAAACACCTCTTCTCAGAAGAAAATATACTGACTTAGAGACCAACGAGTATATCTTTCAGTTTTCTTTTATGAGAGAGGAGGGGGAATTCAAGAAAATGGAATGTCTCAATGTGCCCTAGAAAAAAAGATGAGTAGACTTATGTGATAGAAATGTGTGTAACAGATAAAATTGAATAGGGAGTCTGAAGTTGGGCTGAGAATGGCTTGGATTCTGTAGATTCCTGTAGATTATAAACTATAGTTTGTTTATTCTATAGAAAATGAGAAGCCATCCATGAATTTGGGACTGAAGTATAATTAAAAAAAAATAAAACCTGCATCTCCTGTGTCCTGATTTTCATTTACTCAGCACACTCTTTTTCTATTCAAGTTTTGAGGATGGAGTACAGGTTGGCTGTGGAACACAGCAAACTTTTACATTTGTCTAGTATATAAGGCTCTAAACCATGCTCACAGGAAAGAAAGCTTGATTTAAAAAGTACGTGTACATCAAAAAACATGCATATTCACATTTAAAAGCATTGTCCCTGCTTCATTAAAAAATGCTCAAGTAACAGGGTTTATACATTATCCTTTTAGTTCAAATATATGGCAAATCCACATTGCTCCAAGTGTACTGCAAAATAAACAGGACTCTAGTTCTTTGTGTCTAATCTTCCTCTATCTTGTCTTGCTGTCCACTCCTACTTCAACTGCAGGCAATGAAATGGCATATTTCTGGAATATACTGCAGTGCTTCCAGCTCTGCTCCGCCTACACAAAAACAAAACAAATCCATAATAGGGGCCTCTGGGATTGGATGGGAAACGCCTCCAAAAGGCGGACTGGTTGTTCTATGAGTCAATCAAGTAATTCTTGGCAGAAAGCCAGTCAAATAAAAAACAGACTTTGAAAGAAGCCAGCCTACAACTCTACAATACCTTTTAAAAAATGTTCTGTATTTGACCAATCTTTACACTATTCTCTCTACTGAAAATAAACATTATGCTACCATAAACAAGAGGATTTTCTTTAATGACAAAAGTATTACCTTTTCTCTAAAAAAGATTTATGCCATTCATTCACAGAAATAGATAAGCAACTATAACTATATAACATAAGGTGAATACAGAAACATTGCTTTAGAAAACTATTCCTAAAGCTTAGATGAAACTACAACCACACCGAATTTTTAGACATTAAAGCCTCTTTCCTTTTAACATATCAGTAAATTCGCCTTATCTCTTGCTACTTTGACAGGCAGTTACAACTATCAAGTACTTTTAATTCGGAACTGATAAGAACTATCTGACAGCAAATAACTAAAGCCAACTACCCCCAAAACACGTGTACTGTATTATTAAAAAGCCCTGGCCGAATTTAACACACATTCTTAACGCGGGACCAGTTTAAGGGCTAACAACGCATTCTGCGCTTTTTGCTTTTCATAAGCAATGCAAGCATAAAGATCCTAAAAACACTTTATGATCACAACAACCGAATTCCTTCCAAGACTTTATGTCGCCGAATGATTACATTTTAGCCTTCTTAAATTAGCCTACAATTCACGCCAACTACCAGCCACCTGGGATCAATTTGGAGAACTGACACCAGGGGTAGGAGGCAACCGATAGGAACAAGTCCTTCAAGAGCAAAATTACAAGAGTCTAAGGAAACACTCTAATTTTTGTTATCTCCTGGTTCCTTCGCGTGGCCCAAAGAGCAACATGTCTTCGATTCACCCTTTGGCCAAAATCTGGCGCCATGTTTAAAATACTTTTTCCCCCGCTGCCATCCAAACTGAAGGCACGGAGGAAGAGGGAGGCTTCCCATTGATCCTTGAAGGGTGGAAATAAAGCGAGGAGCGGCTGCAGGGGGGCAACGTTTCTCCGGACCTCCACCCTGGAAAGTGCTATTAGACCAAGAAGTGTTCATTTCCATCAATGTACACTTCGAGAGAGCTCTCGGTGCCGGGGGCCCACGCGGTGCTGGTACTATAAAACCTCAACTGCCTGAAAAAGAGGCGGGCGCCAAACAAGCCGGGTAACTTACCCAATTTCTTCCACATGGCGAGGTGACAAGCAAGGAAGCCCTTGCGGATGGCAGCGCAAACCTTCGCCGGCTCGGATGAGGTGAATCCCTTCTGCTTCTTGATGAAACCCCATAAGTGATCCCGGGCAAACTGTGCAGCTTCCCGCCCGCCGTGCCCGTCGCACACGGCGAAAAATGCCACAGAGGAACGGCGGCGACAGCAGCGGCCAGGAGCCGGCGAGGCCCCAGCGACCGGGGGAGGGTCGCGAGCTTCTCCGGCTGCCACCGCTGGGCCTTTCCCCGGGGCTCCGCCGCCAGGAAGAGCCGGCGATGACGGCTGCAGAGGCGATGACTGAGACAGCGATCGCCGCGGCAAGGGCTTTTCTTCAGCCGTCGGCTCGGGCTCCACCACGATTTGAGTAACGTCCTCCATGTACTTCCTCCCGCCCTGGTCGGAGAAGACGCTCACTCCCAGTGAGTACAGCCCCGCCATGGCCGGCTGGCCGGGATCCCGCCAGTCTCACGCAGCCCGCCGAATCCGGCGGCGGGAGACGCACTCGGCGCTCGCCGGCCAACTATTGTTTACCTTCGACGACGCCGAGAAGGGGGAGGGGGCGGTCCCAAAGGGAGGGGGGGCGCGTTGCCGGGACTTGTCCGCGAGAGCTGGGCCGTAGCGCTAGGGCAAGAGCCGAGCAGCTGCGCCTGCGCAATGCGTTTCCCCCGCCTGCCCGCGCCCACCACACAAATCAGACATCCTCCAGGGCTATCGTCACTCGGTTCTCTGAGCCCGACCAATCCCGAACCGAGTCGGGGCAAACCCGCCCTCCGCCCCCACCCCTCGCTCCTCCCTGCAACGGCCGCGCTCGGTTCTCGCAGCGCGGGCGCGGAGCCCGCGCACTACCCGTTCGCTTTCCTTTTGCGGTGGGGGTTTTCGACCTCTGGGTTATCCGTGCATGCTGAACGCTTATTCAGGCAGCGTGGTCTGTCACCCCCTTACTCAGTTCTGAGTAGTAATGCAGCCTACTGGCCTTGACGTTCAGCTGCTTGCCTTTGCGGGGAAAGCCGTGTTGACTCAGGCCTCCCACGAATCTAAGGGGAAAGACCTTCCATTCCTGGAATTGAAATGGCGGGAAACCTCACTTCGAAAAGTCATTTGTGAACAGGCTGGGAAAAGTGTGACACTCTAGAACTGGATTTGGGTGGGATGTATCCAACTGGGAGTTGAGGGAGGCAATCCAGTTTGCATTGTTTAAGAAAACGGGAAGTTTACACTATCAGCTGCACTGTCTGGTTTCACATACTTGGGTATGTCGGAGACCTAAAAGGGTTAGATTTTAACTAATTGTTTTCCAACGAGCCCAGCACACTTGAAAATAACTTAGAAAAACTGCTTAGTGTTCCAGTGCTCTAACAATTTGTGTTCCCCCCTTTCGCCCAGTAGGTTACAATCTAAACGCTAAAAACTTTGCACGGATTTCCACAGAATTAAAATAAGCCTCAAAGTGGACAGGTTAGTATGTTCTCAGCAGCAAAGTTCCTTTACTGGATCAGTTTAAAGTTCATTTTTTCAGTCTTTCGGCCACTTCATCAGCTCTCCTGTGTGCCCTTTCTTGTACAGCCTTCGAGATTTTCACATGGAATGATACTAGTACAGAAATGGGAATGGGGAAAATGTTCATACCAACAAGTGATAAATACAAATAGAAAAAATCCATGTGCCAATAAAAATACAAATAAGTAAAATCAGCTCAAAATGTAGAAAATGTAAACAGATTAATTAAATAAAAAATGCACAAGATCAGGTGGTTCCAGAGTGTAAAACTACTTGGGAAAAAAATCCCAGTTTGTTTTGAAATATCATAATCCTGTTATCAAAACCTAACAAAACACTAGAAGGAAATCTGTAGACCATGTATTATAACTATAAATGCAAAAATACTAAAGGAAATACTAACAATTTTAATCCAGTAGCCTCCATACCACAAGACTTGCAAGAGAGAACAGTTTGTATAGTTCTATATTCTTAAACAATTTACCCACCTTCCCTCTTCTATAGGTTACAGGAAGATAATTCCTTCATTATAATACTTTTCACTCAATCACAACCTGTAGCCTCCAGGTCATCCATCATTACTCAGATTAGCATCTCCATGCTACCCTCTACTTCCAGGATCTGATTCATTATCCCAACCATCCTAATAATTTCATTCTGCACTTTGGATTTCAACATCTGTTAACAGCCATTTCCTTTATTTTTCACCTCTTCTTTAAATGTTTCCATCAACTTCCTGTTCCAACTGAAAATTGGCTTATCACGTGGCAAAACTAACTCCCTTGCAACTTCTCACATACAGGAGATAATTTTTCCTCTCACAGGTAGTCTTATCCTTGAACCTGCTCATGTTTCCTCCAAATCATTTCTCTTCCTTCATCGAAAGCCAAGCTCTTCTAAAGTTAATGCCAACTACCACTACGCCAAGAGGCTATTGTCTACTGATTCCTGGTAACTCCCCCTTCATTTATTCATGGCTCACTGTCTTCTTTTCTTCCACTATTCTTGTCACTTTTCGGCCACTTTATTTTCTAAATTTTTATCCACATTTTTCATCCAACACCCTAGCTTCTCAGTTCCTCATCCTCTCATGGTGAAATGTCCTTGCTACTATTAACAGCAGTTCATCCATTTGTGATCTAGATCAGTGGTCTCTAACCTTTTTGGCACCAGACTTGTGCTCCTATGAGAATCTAATACCTGAGGATCTGAAGTGGAGCTGAGCCCGTGATGCTAGCACTAGGGAGCAGCTGCAAATACAGATAAAGTTTCTCTTGCTGACCCACCGCTCACCTCCTGCTGTGCAGCCCAGTTCCTGACAGGCCATGGACCTGTACCAGTCCACGGCCTGTGGGTTGGGGACCCCTGTTCTAGATCCTTTCTCCTCTCTCCTTCTTGGGAGTTTTGCTCTACCAATTATACTTTTGTTGCTCCTATATCATCAATATCTCCTTTTCTACTGGGTCATTTCCATCTGTGTACAATGATAAATATTCTGCTGTCCATTTTAACAACGAGAAAAAAAACTACTTCAACTCCATAGACTACCCCATTCCTCTGCCCTCCTTTACAGAAAAACCTTGAAAGAGTTGTCTTTATCTTGATTCTACTTCTAGTTCCTACCTCATAATTTCTCCTTAACCCATCCAATAGAGCATCCATCCCCATCATGCCACTAAGTCTGTTTTTATGACATAACCAGACATGTTTTCAAAGCTAATAACTTTCCTTTCTTATTGACTTCTGTCCCAACTGAAGCAGAAAGTAGAACTATTGTTCCTTCTTGAAACTTAGTAGCAAGTTAAACCATTACTTCCTTCCTGAAACTTTTCTCTTTGTTTTAAGACATCATACTATAATGGGTTTCTTCCAACCTCTGTGACTGACAACCTCTTCTCATTTTCCTTTGTTGATTACTCCCCTGCTAGACTTTAAATTGTTAAGAGTACCCAGTGCTTTGTCATGGGCTCTTTCCTTTTCCTACATACTCTCACTAGGTAACACCATCCAAGACCATAGCTCTAAAAACTATCTGGGGATGACTCCCAAATTTATATCTCTAGTCTTAAACTTGACCCTGAATCCCAGACTCTATATGCAACTGCACACTTGCCAGTTCTACATAGATGTCTAATGGGCATTTCACCTTAATATGGCCAAAACAAACTCTCGATTTCTTCTCCATATTTTCTCCTTCTGTAGTCTTACCCATATCAGTATCACCATTACCATTTACCATGACGTTCAAGCCAAAATACAGTTTTTTTATTCCTCTTTCCTCTACTCTCCTCTCCACCCCACAACCCCCCCACCAGCAATTTCCATTCCTTGTAATTCATCATCAAATCTTTTTAACTAAATCTTCAAAATCAATACTGAACCCACCACTTCTCACTACCTCTACCACTACATCCCAGTCCAAGCCATCATTACTTCTCACTTGGACCACTACATAAGCCTCCTCACAAGTCTCCTTTCTTTTACTGTTGACCCTCTGCAATCCTTTTCTACTAGCTACTATTGTGCTCTTTCAAATCCATAAATCAGATTAAGTCATTCCCCTATTCAATACACTCCATGACTTCCCATCACATTTAAAATAGTATACAAACTCTTTATGAAGGCCTACATGATCTATTTGGTTCCTAAATGTTTATCTAACATCATTTCATAACAGTTTCCCCATTCCCCACCCCCTCCCGCCTCACTGGCCTTTCAGTTCCTTTAACAGGCCAAGCTATTAGGAGACTTAGGGATTTTACATTAGCTATTGCCTCTCCATAGAGTGCTCCACCCGCCCCCCCATCCTCTAACCACCACCCCACACATCCAGCAGCTTTACAAGGGTAGATTCTTTTTGTTATTCAGATCCCAGTTTACATATTAAGGGACTTCCTAACCATCCAGTCAAAAGTAGCCACCTAATATCTATCATATAACCCTATTTTAATTCTGTAAAGGACTTCTCATTATCTGATCTTTTCTGTTTATTTGCCTATTGACTGTCTCTCTCTCTCTCTCTCAATTAGAATATAGTCTCCATGAGAACAGGGAATTTATTCAACACTATATCCCCTGAGCCTAGGACAAAAGTTAAGTGACTTGATTAATTAATTCATTAGCAAGAATGTATAAAACTGATATGAAGAAAACTATGAAACTTTGCCATAGGAAAAAATTAATCCCTGAATAAGTGCGAAATGCTGCCATGTTCTTGGAAACATAATTTGTCTCGAATTATAAATTTATTATAATTTTTAATCAAAATCCCAACTGGATTTCTTTTTATTTGACAAGTAGATTTTAAAATTTATCTGGAAGACAAAATGAATAAGAATAGCCAAGATGTTATTGAAAAAGAAGTATATTTAGATGGTTAGTTGCCCTGCAGATATCAGAATATTTTATAAAGTTGACAGTGGCAGAGAAATGGCCAAATGGATCAACAGAATAGAACAGAGTCCAGAAAGAGATCGATGTATATATGAGAAGAAGTATGTGATGGATGTGGCATTTCAAATAATTGAGGAAAGGACTGATTATTCACTAACCTGTTAGGACATCAGCTATCCTTTGTTGGGACAATTTGCTATCCTTGAGGGAGGAAAAAAAGATGAAGTCCTTAATTCATACCAGCTTTAAAATTTAAACAAATAATAAAAATAAATTTAAAAATAAAATAAAATGGCAAGTAGATTAAAGAGCTAAATTAAGTTAAAAATATGTAGGTACTGAGGATTCTGCTAAAAAATAAAAATAGAATTACCATATGATCTAGCAATTCCATTTCTGTGTATTTATCTGGAAAAAACAAAAATACTAACTCAAAAAGATATGTGCACTGCCATGTTCATTGCAGCATTATTTACCAAGATATGGTAACAGTCTAAGTATATCAACAGATGAATGAATAAAGAAAATGTGATACATAAACATACACAGGAATAGTACTTCAGTCATAAAAAAAGAAATCTTGCCATTTGTGACAACATGAGTAAACTTTAAGAGCATTATGCTATGTGAAATAAATCAGAGAAAGAAAAATACTGTATGATGATCCTACTTATATGTGGAATCTAAAAAAGGAGAAAAAAAAAAAAAGCAACCAAGCTCATAGATACAAAGAAGAGATTGGTGGCTGCCAGAGTTGGGGGATGGAGGAAC